TCCATCTCCAGTCAGGGCGCAATCCTAGGTTGTGGGTTTGAACCCTGGTCAGGCACATACAGGAGGCAACTGATCTGTTTCTCTCACATTGTTGTCTCTCTCTAAAATCAATAAAAATATAGCTTTGGGTAAGGATAAAAAAAAAAGAACACTGTCAGTTTTACGAACATATTCTCAAACAAAGATCTGCTTTATGCTTTAGAAGGAAAGGATTGGAACAACATGTAGCAGGGCTGTTGATAGAGAAACCATTTTTGGACGGTCATCACAGATCTGTTAAATAGAACACCTCGACTTCGCTTCTTTTGGAGAGAAAAATAATAGCTTTAAGTTTGTTTTATTTATTTATTTTTTACCTAAAAGCAAATACCAAAGGCTGCAGTCAGTATATGGTACAAAGGGTCAGTATGATATGTTTTTCTTTTTATCATCTATTTTCACTTAAAGTAAAAACTGTGTTTGAACTATTTATAAAAATTAAAATTTTTTAAAAAAGGGAGGTGGGGTGGGTGGAAAGGGGAAAATGGTGTGGGGAAATGGAGACAAACTGTATTTGAACAAGAATAAAAAAATAAAATTTTAAAAATTTTAAAAATGAAGTTTACAAAGACTACCTAAAAATTCTTTTCAGTAATTAGGTTTAAGACTATGCAATTATAGACACATAATTACAATACAAAAGATAGTTGAAGGAGAAAAGGCTGGAAGGAAGTGCAACATAAAATACAAAAAGTGATTTTGTTTGGGTGATGACCTGGGATGACTGTTTTTTCTTTGGCTTTTGACCATTTTCGTATAGGACCATGCATTACTTTTCTATTTAAAAAATTGTAAGATCGAAGTGCAAAGAAAACTGTCAACCAAGACCAAGAAATACTCCTTCTTGAAATGTCCAAGCCTTTGCATATCAGTCCAAAATGATGCTCAGTTCAAAATCCTGAACTTTGGCATATCCCTTTAGCTATCCCTTCAGATGATGGTAACAACGGCAATAGAAAACTTAAGCTTCAAAATAGCAGAGTAAACACATACACTTACCACCTGACCCTCAAGGCCCTGTTGAAATAAACACAAAAAAGAGTCCAGAGAAATAAACTTCATAATACTGAAAAGAATAAAAGAGGTCACCAACAAATAAGGTTTTCAAATTTTATAAGGGACAGAAGAAACAGATGGGATTAGGGTGAAGGATAAAAGAGGTAGGGAAAGGTACAGCCTAGGACCTGTTGTCAGGGGCTGGGAGTCAGGCTGCCAGATAGAACCTGAAGCTGGGCTCAGAGCCAGTTGGTGTGCTGTGCACAGGACTGATGTAAGAAGTAAAAGTAGGGAGTTTACTTGAAGTTCCACACCCAGAATAACTAACAGTTGGTACCACCACTCCCCTGCCACAACCCCAAACACACAGCAATGAGCCAGGATTTGCCTCCAGCTGAAATAATGAACAGCTATTCCCTAAAGAAATCAAAGTGTTTGGAACAAGCAAAAGCTTCTAGTGTGAATGGTGGAGTCCTAGACGAAGCCCTTCTCATTCTGGTATCTGGAGGGCTTATCGCCGTCGGCCAGCTCCCTATGCGCTCATCCTAAGGCAAAGCCCGTCAGTCACTTTTCTGTCTCCCATCCTACCTCCCCGCCCCCCGCCTCACCTATCCAACACAAAGATTTCCCAGTCTGAGGCCTCACTCAGGAAAGAGATCTCACAGGAAAACTACTTCTTGCATAGAAAAAGCTATAAACTATTTGATTATATATGATTTGGTCTGATAGTGAATAACTATTAAATAAGAATAGTGATGTAAATGTTAGCCACTGATTTTCAAATTTTAGATCAACTCTGGACCAAGTATAGAAGATAGCTTATGCTTTTAGGCATAATATAATTATTAGCAACCTTGAAAATATAAATGTACAGCTAAGAGAAAACAGCATTTTGGCCTTTGTAAGGAAAGAAGGAGTTGGAATAAAGGGAAGAGGTACTAATACAGGTTTAAATATATTAAAATTACAAAGGTAACAACAGAAACCTTTATTTGGGTAAATATCAAACATGAAGAGGAAAGGAAAATGGGGATGGGGATAATATAAGTGTGCTAAGTCTTAATTTTTCATCTCAAGGAATCAATATGCCAACTGATAAATTTAACAAACCAATCTGATAAATCAGAGATTAGGAATTATAAGCATATCTTCTAAAACTCTATAATCACCAGAATTAAACAGGGAAAAAGAGGTAAAAGAGAAACTAACATGAAAGTATAACTGGGGATGAGTAAAATGGGGAAAACCTGCCATTCATCCTAAAATACTACTACTTGACACATTCCCAGTTAGTTACATTACATTAATAAAAATATATTTTGAAGCTAAATATGTTCATTTATTCTGGAACCCCAAAGTGTTTTAAAATACTCAGCCCATATCAAGTCTTCTTGTCTGCCACCTGCCTTCATCCAACACTCTGCCTGCTTCCTCTATGACTTGGCTTCCTCATTGTGTTCCCAATCTCTCTCTTATGTTTGATTTGCCTTCTTCTCTCTCCTTTTCTGCCTTAGGCCAAGACAGGTCTCCCTATCCTAGGGAAAACAAAAAAATTTCACTTGATTGGAATGGTTTGCGTCATTTCTCTTGTTTCTCTTCTTCCTTTAAAGAAGTAGGCTTTATTTCCCCCTAAAATCTGGCTTTTAAACACCAAGTGTAATGATGCTTTTACAGTCCTCATTCTACTTAATATTTTATTCAAGCATTTCACAGGGAGCCTTACTTTTTACCTGTTTTATTTCCTAAGGAAGGCATGAGAATGGAGGAGTGGAAATACCTCACAAGAACACTGTTCCCAAGAGAACACATTTCCCAAGAGAACATCTTGGGAAATGCTGGCATGAAGTGTTCCAATTACAAATGCATCCTTGCTTTGGTCAAGAATATTAATCTCTGTCTTTTGGCACTGAGGAAAACTACCGAAGTAAACCCCTAGAAACAAAACCTCTCAGCATAAGTATTGTAATATTAGCCTTTCATAATCATATTGATGTGCAAGAAGACTGATACAATACAAACCTTAGGGAAACATTCTCAAGATATTGAATCCAAAGCTCAAAATGATAACACAGTGAGTCAATATAGTTATCCTATATTAAATCTCAACATTCCCCACTAACAACAGTAAATATCTTACAAATGAAGAGAAAAATAAGAAATAAAATAAGAAAACTAGTGAATGAACCAAAAAGATCCAAATTCCAAAATTTAACATTACACCATATTCTGGTTTTCTTTAAAACATAATGAATTTTGACTTTTTAAAGTATATTAATTTGTTGCATTGAGTCAGTCACATCTATTTGCAAGAAAGAGGCATAAACAATATTCAGAAATCAACAGCACTCCTGTGGTTCAACAGTGACTATCAGAAAGGGAAACTAAGAAAAGATCCCATTTACTATAGCAGCAAGAAATATAAAGAATGTACAGATAAACTGAACCAAGGATGTAAAAGACCTGTACTCAAAAAATTGTAGAACACTGAAGAAAGAAACTGAAGGAGATACAAATAAATGGAAGCATATACTGTGTTCATAGACTGGAATAATTAACATCATTAAAATGTCCATACTACCCAAAGCAATCTATAGACTCAACACAATTCCTATTAATGGCATATGTCACAGATCTATAAAAAACATTTCAGGCATTTATATGGAACCAAAGAAGATCCTGAACAGCCTCAGCAATCCTGACAAAGAACAAAGTTGGACGGATCACAATACTTGATATTAAACTATATTACATGGCCATTGTATTCAAAACAGTCTGGTACTGACGTAGGAACAGACACATAGATCAATGGAACAGAACAGAGCCCAGAAATAAACCCATGTCTCTCTATGGTCAAGTAATATTTGGCAAAGAGGGCAGGAGCATACAATGGAGTAAAAATAGTCTCTTCGATCAATGGTGTTGAAGAACTGGACTGGTACACTCAAAAAAATGAAACTGGACCACCAACTTACACCATACACAAGAATAAACTCAAAATGGATAAAGGACTTAAATATAAGTCATGATACCATAAAAATCCTAGCAGAAAACATAAGCAGCAAAATTTCAGGCATCCCACGTAGCAATATTTTTGCTGATGTATCTCCTAGGGCAAGGGAAATAAAGGAAAAAATAAACAAATGGGACTTCATCAAATTAAAAAGTTTCTGCACAGCTAAAGAAAACATCATCAAAATGAAATGGGAACTAACTGTATGGGAGAACATATGTGCCAATGATACCTTGGACAAGGGTTTCATCTCCAAAATATATGAAAAACTCATATGACTCAACACCAGGAAGACAAACAACCCAGTTAAACAATGGGCAAAGGACCTGAATAGACACTTCTTCGAAGACATACACAGGGCTCACAGACATACGAAAAAATGCTCAAGATCACTAACCATCAGAGAGATGCAAGTGAAAACCACAATAAAATATCACCTCAACCTGTCAGAAAGGCCATCATTAATAAATCAACAAAAAAGTGCTGTGGAGGATGTGGAGAAAGAGGAACTCTAGCACCCTGTTGGTGGGAATGCAGACTGTTGTAGCAACTGTGGAAAAAAGTATGGAATTTCCTCAAAAAATTAAAAATGGAACTGCCTTATAACCCAGTGATTCCACTGCTAAGACTATACCCTAAGAATCCTAAGTCACCAATTCAAAAGAACGTATGCACCCCAGTGTTCACAGCAGTACTATTTACAATAGCCAAGTTCTGGAAACAGCCCTAGTGCCCATCAGTAGATGAGTGGATTAAAAAATTGTGGTACATTTATACAATGGAATACTATACAGCAGAAAGAAAGAAGGAAGTCCTACCTTTTGAGACAGCATGGATGGAACTGGAGACTCTTATGCTAAGTTAAATAAGCAGTTGGCTAAAGACAAACACCACGTGAGTTCACTTACAACTAGAATCTAATAAACAAAATAAACTAACAAGGAAAACAGAACCAGAGACATGGAAACATGGAACAGATGGATAGCTACCCGAGGGGAGGAGGAAGAGGAGGAATGGTGGAAGGAAAGAAAGGGACTAGTCAAAGAACATGTATGAATGACCCATGGACATGGACAACTGGGAGGGGGTTGACTGTGGGTTGTGGAGAGTGGTGGGCTGGGTGGAGGGTGGCAAAAAAGGAAAAAGAAATTGGGACAACTATAAAAGAATAAACAATACAAAAAAGAAGTAGGGCACAATTTTGATAAGGAAATTGAATGGGGAAGGCCCACATAAAGTATTAGTTGTAAACCTCAAAGCTATTGGGAAAAATAAACTAACTAATGTAAGCATACTTATGAAAAAACTTCCTTATTTCATTATTATCAATATCAAACAAGACTTTAAAGCAATTAAAATTTATTTAATTAAGCATAAGGTTACTTTCACATTTGTCTACAACCATAGTAAATACAGTTTTGGCATAAAGACACAGCCGTTGGAGTTTTAAACATCCCCAAATTGCAAGATTATACAGGAAACTCCCACTTATGTTTATATAATAGCAGATTCATTAATCAAATTAAAATAATTATACTATGTAGGATAAAATAAAATGGAAATAATTTACTCGTAAAATTCATATTTAAATCATCTTTATTTACAAAATAGTATCCTGAGAATGTAATTCCATTAAGCTCCAATTTGAGCATAAGTATAACCACTTAAGTAACAGCCGTTACTTAAACTGAACATTGAGAGGAGGCAAAATTACTTTTGACATATATAGATCATGTATCATAGAAATGTACACTTGTAAACTATATAATCTTAATGTCATCCCAATTGTTTTAATTAAAAGGATAAAAGAAAAGAATAATTACTTTTGAAGAGAAACCAAAAATATTGTCAAGCTTCTTGTGGTTCTGGACGTTCGTTCATTCAGTAGCCGGCTCATTTGAAGGCGGAATCAACCCTGATGGGACCTCATTTCTACTTTCAGGATGTGGGGGGGGTGGGACTGGGGGTGGGGGGAAAACTCCAGCTCTTGGGGGAAAATAATGAGGAAAAGCTCTCGGTGGGTAGACATTTCTCACTGTTCAAAGAGATTAATAAGAGACATTTTTTTTTTAACTTTAAGCTCCTATACTGCAACTCCAATAAATCATTAACTTATAACTTCTAGTACCTATCTTTACATTCAAAAATTGACACCCAAATAATTACTTGATATAACAAATGGAATTTTTACAACATTGAGAAAAATATACTCTCTTCAACTATTCACAATTAAAGAAAATATAATAAATTTTAGACCCAATTTTATGAAGATCTAACACCTTAAGACTTCTTAAAAAGAATTATTTCAAACTATACAAACTTACTTTTAAAAAGTTTCATGTAATTTTCACCAGACTTAAAATTCAGACCAGTAATTTCCAACTCTAATTTGATATTATACTAAAACATTTATAGTTATGTCAAATGCTGTCTTAAAATTCCCCAAACAAAATTCATTTTAATTCACACCTTAAAATAGAAGAGGAATGAGGGAAGGAACAACCACATCAGGAAAATAACAGGCTTCTGCCTAGTGAATGCTGATCATGTATTTATTCTGTAAAAAACTACAGTTCTAAATGGCAATATATAGACATAAAAGCAATAAATTATTTCATTGTTTTTCATGCGGGGCTATGAAAGAATTTCAATAAATTCAACAATTAGTCCAAATACATTTTAGGTTTCAAATAAGTAGAACTGCATGAGAACTACTTAAGAAAAAGACTTTAAAAAATACCTTCACCTGTAATTTTAATGCTAAAATAAATTGTAATTATTTTTACTAATTGCCATAGTAACCAGTTTCTATCAAATAAGATATAAATAATTTCAGTCTTAAAATAAGACTGCAAAAAGTCAATAATCTTCTTGGCATGCAAAATGTGGAAATAATTCCACATTATTGAGATGAATCAAGGTGAAACCTCATTACAGTCTATTGATGGATGGCTGCCTTCCCTAAGGCGGTGTACCAAGTAATGGTACATTCACAGAATGTGAGAAAAGTTTTCCTCCACTGTATTGCTACCTGAATAGGAAGTAGGTTTAACATACCTGATATACTTTATAAAACATATATTAATTTTTTTAAATAAAAAAGCATACTTGCAAATGGAGGAGGTGCTGGACCAGGAAAGTCCCTCGGAGGCAAATAATCACGGGAAGCTCCGTACATGCTGCCTGGAGGTGGAGGGAAAGGAGGCCCTCTTCTCAGATATGGGCTCCTCGCATCCATTGGAAGCAATGGACCTCTGATTGGAGGAACAAAGCCAGGGCCAGTTGCTTCACTTTTGGTGGGGAGAGATGTATCAGGCACATTTAAATTCTGTAACAAATTGACATATGAGAATCACTAAAGTCAGCAAAATTTGTAATCTTTTCTTAGACAGCTAAGAAGAATGCAGTCCATGATAGTCTTAAATGACTCCAGAGAAAGATTCAAACAGATTTCTACATCAGATGGATTTTTCCCATCACAAATATTTTATTAACTCAAACAGAAAACAGCTTTACTTTCCCACTAAGATCAGGAACAAGACAAGGATGTCCGCTTTCACCACTTCTATTCAACATTGTATTGGAAATCCTAACCACAGCAGTTAGACAAGAAAAAGAAATAAAAGGTATCCAAATTGGAAAGGAGGAAGTAAAACTATCATTGTTTGCAGATGACATTGTACATAGTGTACATAGTGTACATAGAAAACCTTGTAGATGCCAGCAAAAAACTACTAAACCCAGTAAGTGAATTTGGCAAAACAGCAGGATACAAAGTCAATATTCAGAAATCAAAGGCATTTCTGTACACTGGCAATGAAATAAAAGAAGAAGAAATCAGAAAAAAAAATACCATTCAATATAGCAATAAGGAAAATAAAGTACCTAGGAATAAATTTAACCAAGGAGGTAAAAGATCTGTACGCGGAAAACTATACAACATTGAAGAAAGAAATTAAGGAAGACACAAATAAATGGAAGCATATACCGTGCTCATGGATTGGAAGAATTAGTATCATCAAAATGACCATACTACCCAAAGCAATTTATAGACTCAATGCAATCCCTATTAAAATACCAATGATGTATTTCACAGAAATAGAACAGACATTTCAAAAATTTATATGGAACCATAAATGACCATGAATAGCCGCAGCAATTTTGAGAAAGAAACACAAAGTAGGAGGGATCACAATACCGGACATCAAACTCTACTACAAAGCCACTATACTCAAAACAATCTGGTACTAGCACAAGAACAGACCCATAGACCAGTGGAACAGAATAGAAAGCCCAGAAATAAGCCCAGGTCTATATGGGCATCTAATATTTGACAAAGGGGGCAGAAGCATAAAGTGGAGTTAAAATAGCCTCTTCAACAAATGGTATTGGGAGACCTGGACAGCTACATGCAAAAAATTGAAATTGGATCATCAGCTGACACCATACACAAAAATAAACTCAAGATGGATAAAAGACTTAAATATAAGTCGCAACACCGTAAAAGTCCTAGAGGAGAACATTGGCAGGAAACTCTCAGATATCCCACGCAGCCATTTTTTTACTGATATGTCTCCTAAAGCAAGGGACATAAAGGAAAGAATAAACAAGTGGGACCTCATCAAAATAAGAAGCTTCCGCACGGCTAAAGAAAACATCAGCAAAATGAAAAGGGAGCCAACCCTATGGGAAAATATATTTGCTAATGATACATCAGATAGATGTTTGATCTCCAAAATATAAAAAGAACTCACATGACTCCACTTCAAGAACACAAACGATCCAATCAAAAAATGGGCAAAGGACTTGGGCAGACGCTTTTCCAAGGAGGAGATACAGATGGCCCAGAGGCATTTGAAAGGATGCTCAGCATCACTAGCCATCAGAGAAATGCAGATCAAAACCACAATGAGGTACCACCTCACACCGGTCAGAATGGCCACCATAAACAGATCAACAAACAACAGGTGCTGGCGAGGCTGTGGAGAAAAGGGAACACTAGTACACCACTGGTGGGAATGCAGACTGGTGCAGCCATTGTGGAAAGCAGTGTGGAATTTCCTCAAAAAGCTGAAAATGGAACTGCCTTTTGATCCAGTGATTCCCCTGCTGGGACTATATCCTAAGAATCCCAAAACGCCAATTCAAAAGAACCTATGCACCCCACTGTTCATAGCAGCACAATTTACAATAGCCAAGTATTGGAAGCAACCTAAATGCCCATCAGTAGATGATTAGATCAAAAAACTATGGTACATTTACACAATGGAATACTACACAGCAGAACAAAAAAAAAAAATACTACACTTCGCGACAGCATGGATGGAACTAGAGAGCATTATGCTAAGCGAAATAAGCTAGGGGGCGAAAGACAAATATCATATGATCTCACCAGAAGTGGAACCTAACCAACAAAACAAAGATGCATGGAAAATAAGACCAGCAACAGTAAAAGAAAAAAGAAACTAACAGAGTCAAGAGCGAAGGAGGGAGGGGTGGACAGGGAAAGGGAAGGGAAGGGTCAAGTCAGGAACATACAGCAAGGACTCATGGACAAAACCAAAGTGGGGAAGGACTGAGGGAGGGAGAGGGGAGAAGGGGAAAAGGGAAAGTGGCAGGGGGTAGGCAGAGACAAATGTATTTGAACAAAAAAAAAAATTTTAAAAAAAGAGAGAGAAAAGAAAACAGCTTTAACCAACCAAGTAATATCCTGACTCAAGATATACAACACAAATATCCAAGAATACAAAATTAGACATTCTTTACCAAACATATCCTTAAAAAAAGATGCTTATGTTTATATTTTCAACACAAAATAAGGTAACCAAAACTAAAATTGTAAAGATAGTAACAAAAATATACTTCAAAACATTCAAATAAAAATTCAAGGGGAGAAAAATCCAAATTCTTGTTTAACTATAGTAAAATAACTCAAGCCTCTAGTTTATAGACACCTAACAGTCTGTAAGTCATATTTTATCACCATCAGGTGCATTCTCCAGAAAAGAAAGAGCTATATAATGCTGAATAGGCAGTTTATTTGTCAAAAATAAAACAGCTTTATGTCAAATACTAGACTGATAGCTAAATTTCTGTTTTAGTAAACCAAGAGATTACAAGGCTCCTAAATAATGTATAAAATTCCATATTCGATACTTACACCAAGATCGTCTTTGCTGTCATTTCTACTGGATTCCACTTCTGAAGACTTTGGCCCATCTAGACATAAAAGTTAAACCATGAATATATGACTTATCACCCCATTCCTAGAATAGCTCAAGACCACACAGGATGTTGATACTTTCCCACTCCCCTTGTCAGCACATAAACTAGCTTGTCACCCGCAACCTGTATAAAGGCCACGAGAGCAGCCTGAGGTTCCTGGGAATCTTGGGAGACTCAAATCAAAGTTCTGCAAAGGCATGTGGCCGCCTGTTCCTAGGCAATCCTGCTCCCAACAGCATCGTGAGGGGACTTACTAGGAAGTAGCATTCCTCCACCTCCTTTCTTTCTTCTTTCCTCCTCCTTCCATTTTTCTCCCACCTCACTTCCTTTCTTTTCTCTCCCCTTCCCTCCTTTGCTCCTTTTTTTCGTCTCTCTCAACTTTCTTCTTTATTCCATCATCAGATAGTACATACTAGTCTTTGAATTTAGCCACTGTTTCTAAACAAATGTCTCTGAACTTTGTTATCAAGAACTACTCAGTTTCTGAGAACATTCCAATCCTAGATTAATCCAACTCTCTGCTTCCACTCTTCTTATACCTGAGAGACTTAGGACTTCTGGGGTAAAATAAACCGTGGAGCCATGCAGACTGGCACCACTCCAGGCCGGCAGATCTCTCACCATACTTGCAACTGCCCACTGCCTTGCCTTCCTTCTGTGTCATCTAACCAGGTTTCTCCTCAGCAATTTTCAACCTCCATTCTCCTCAAACCTATTATTCCAGTCACTTAGAAACTCATAACTTTTTCTAATCAAACATATAAATATAACAGCAATTATATTCATATGATATTTCCTCCTATTATCACAGAAAAGGATCCTTCTAGACAATCTATAACCCTGATTCTACATTCAGAATCCTTCATTTCCCTCCAGCTGCCTTGGGGATTTTCCTCTCTCTGTTGAGGCCCTTTTCGTTTTCTGCAAGTCTCTCCCAACTACTCTGTAAAAATGAGACTGAGAAAGAGAATCCCCCTCCGGCTAACTACCTCTCTCTTTAACAGTTAAGAATTGTTCTATACATACTGGTCAGAATTTCTCCCATTTTGTCTCATTTTACTGTAATCTATTTGCAACAGCAACTGTCCCACTGAAATTGTTTTCTCCAAGATCAAAAGCAGTCTGTTTTGTTTTGTTTGTTTTTTTGCTAAATTAAAGCAGACACAATGCTTATGTTATTTCTCACCATGCTGACCATTTCCTCCCTCTTTAAATCCTCTCGCCTTTAATTTCTGTGATGGTACCCCTCCTTCTCTCCATCTCTTCTTTCTAGCTGTTGCTCTTCAGTCCCTTTGGTGGGACCACTACTTCTAGCCACCCTTACATGGTGGTCTCTTCAGAGTGCCACCATCGGCCCTATTCTCATGTCATTCTCTCCTTGAGAAATCCCCTCTACTCCTACAGCTTTAATTTGATGTATACAGTACTACTGACTTCCAGATGTTTAATTCCCATCTAGATATTTCCCCTAGGACGTGAAAGCTTGAACTGCTGATCTGAATATTCATGCAGGTATAATAGAGGTATTGCTAATTTTCTAAGTTCAAAATGTAACTTACAATCTTTCTTGTCAAATGTCCTGCTGCTCCTTCTTCCTTGTCTCAGAACAATGAATGGCCCAGATGCCAAAGACAGGAACCTGGGCATCAGCCAAGATCCCTTCTTCTTCCTTACTCCCACATGCCTTCAATCCTAAATCCGCCCAATTCTATTTTCGCTATGCCTGTTCCCATTTATATATCCCCTCTACTAAAATCATCACCATCATTCATGTAGACTCCTATAATAAGTCTCCTAAAACGTTACCCTGCTTCCAATCTTAACCACTCCCTCCAACCTATTCATCATAAAGCAATCACAGCAATTCCCCTAAAATACAGATCTGATTATAAATTTCCCTGTATAAAATATCTTTTAATGTTTTTACCCTGTGAATAATGTCCAAATTTCTGAAAAGGTTTGCAAGGTCCTGAAAACTCTACTTAACCTCTTCACTACTTGTTTCAATATTCCTGCACTCACACTACACATTGCGGCCAAAACTTACTGGGCACTCTTAACTCTAAATCTTCTCCTAAAATATTACCACCATCATTTCAGTCCACCTAATTCCTCCAAGAAGATTTCCTTGACTGTCCCATAATCAAATACTAACATCTCATCTTGGTCAGTGCTCCATATGCTTCCATAACATTTTGTACTCATTACTTTTGTCATTATGTTGTGCAATGCAACAACCTCAAGGTATAAGGAATACTGAGCTCCTGTTCACCACTGAAATACATCAGCTTCCATAATGCCTGTCATACAGTGAGCATTCTATAAATAATTTAGTTCATCAGTGGTTGGGTCCACTACCCTCTCATTTCAAAAAAGTACAGAGATCAAGACCATGGCCTAAATTAGGCAGACATGGGTTCAAATCCTGCCTCAGATACTTTCTACCCTGAAATCTTGAGCATCTTTTTAAGCCTCAGTTTCTTTATCTAAGAAATGAAAATACTAGTGGGTACCTTCATAGATTCATTGTGAAGGTTAAATAAGATAATTCACTTTCATTTAATGAATGCTTATTGAGCACTAGTGCTAAGTCAATGTATTACAAACTTATCTCTCACCATCCTCCTTCATGTAAATACCAAATAGTAACAAAGCAATAGTAATATATTGTGTTCATTTAAAACTTTTCTATTCACAAAACACTTCCATACACATTAACTCACTTAATTCTCTAAGGCCTTGTCAAGGGTCAATATCTTAGTTTTATAGCCATTGTCCATATGGCTCATGCTATTGCTTTTCTCTTTTTTTGCTTATGCTGTTACTGGCACAGACCCCACCTCCCAACTAATTTTTCAAATTCCCTCAAAAACAACTCAAATGGCACATCCCTCATGGCGTTTTCCCTGATCCTTCAACTAGATGAGCATTCTCCCTTTCTGTGAACACAGCATATTCTCTAATGAGACTTACTTACTATTCTCACCAGTATTAAAGATACATGTCTTTCTCCCCCATTTAATTATTAATATAATTATAAGAGACTATACCTTATTATAATTATATTGTCTGCAATGTCATGCAGGGCACCTTCTAAACAGTAAGCACTTAAATATTATCTGCTTAATTGGATTGTTCAATTACCAAAAATAAATAATTAAACATGTAAAAATTTTAAAGAGCACTAGTTTAATTATACATATATTTTCATTCCATTATGCTTGAATTAATGTGGGAAAAAATTTCAAAAGCCTAACCAAAAAACTTAATTTAATTGTAACTAATAATAGAAATCCAGGCCATAGGTCTGCTTTGTTGCTTATTATTTCAAAAAATTGTTTTCTACAATAACAGGTAGTTCAAACAAATAATGTCCTCCCTACAACTATACACCCTTTCCTGAGGAAACTTTTACCAATAAATTTATATTAATTTTCTACTTATGTTTTAATCTTTTTATATTCTTACTATTAAACACTTCTAACAGATACATTAGATATATATATTTCCCAACTTCGGTGGGTTGCTTTGCAGTGATTTAAGGAAAAGAGTGCCTGTCAAACACTAGGTTCCTCAGTAAATGTTACACAAAATGTTTAAATAAGATAATTGATTAAACCAGCAGCAGAGCATGCACCCAAGTTATTTTTCTGGTGCATTTTCATATATCCATTCATAGCAGCCTAATTTCCTCATTACTAAACAGGATATATGGAAGTTTACTGGGAAAATTAACCATGGAATAGAGTAAAATTTTCCATCATAGGTTAACAGAGTAAAGTCATTACCATGATGCCTAAATCAATCGCCAACATCTACACAGATGCCATGGACATGTGCAACATAACAAGAAACACAAAACCAGGAAAATTTCAGAGAAGAGATAGTTGCCTTCAGAGCTACCACATATAGCAAGTATATGGTCCTTTATTCAGCTTCTAGTTCTTTAGTTTGCCACCATTATTTAAAAAACACAAACATGAACAAAGAATTTATTACCTCCTTTATCCTGTGATGGCATATTAAAACTTCTGAGCTCTGCTGGTCCAGAGAGTCTGCCAGTATTAGGATAAAATCTGTCTTGCCTTTGTGGAGGAAGAGCTGGATCAGGATAAGGTTGGCCTAAAAACAATTTTTAAAACATTTTCAGTAGTATAAAAGTAAATCAAGTTGATGTAAGTTTAATATATTGCACACAGACACTTCTCTTGTTTTCTAAAAGATTCTAACCATATTCTTGGTAGATAATAGTAAAGAATTTTGGGAAAATTACATATTGCACTAAAGGCAATAACTTTATTTGCTTTTATAGTAAATACAAGTATAGTATGCTACCCAAGATTTTAAAAGTTTCAATTATAATGTGTAAACTAAAATATATGAAGAGATTTAGTTTTATATTCCTTTAACTTTCCAGTTTAGTAACAGTAGAAGGAAGTGAGTACATCAATACGTCAAAAAAAAGACTATGAAAAGATAGCTACTAGCAAAGAAAGAAAAAACAGAGTATGTTGTCAGCATGGCAAGAAATTTAGCAGAACAGACAATGATAAAAGAAATGGTCAGCAAAGCAGAAAGAGTATTATTCACAGGTCACTGGTGCTCAAATTTTCAGTAACTTCAATATTTTGGAGTTTAGCATCCCTCCAAAACTGAAGAGGAAGATTCTGACGCAATAGGTGAATGTAAGTTTCACACTGCTCAGATTGAGTACATCTGGATAGATGCACAATTGAGCACAGGCTCTGACTCGGGTGCTTATACAGCCACCCTCCTTTGTTTCCAGGGGTTAAGATGACAAAGTGGTCATTCCTGGGTCCCTAGAGAACTCATCATTCTTGAAAAAACATATAGGTAGTCTATCTCATCTTTGATAGGTGATGGCGGTGTTTTGATAGATTAGGTTTACCTATGCCCAAGTCCAAAAATATAGGGAAGGTCAAAGGGGGTGAGTTGTGTGACTCTCTCCTACACTTATGCATATGGACAAATGGACCCAAACTACCTTCCATAAACTGTCCTAGGCAGTGGTTCATAATACAAACTCCATAGAGAGCTGGATGTGTCACTCCTCACCTGACTCAGTCACATGGGACCTTAATGATACACCTCTCCCACACAAACCCAAGAAATCATCTGGCACCAACCAGAATCAACAGAATTTTATTTAATGAGCCCCTAGGGGTCAAGATGTGACTCAGGAGAGGAAGATCCACACAGGCTTAAAGGCTCATTTCCTCCCTCTTTCAGAATCTTAGCAAAGAGCTGTCTCAATAGGTCTGAATTAGGCCAAGGGAAGAAAAGACCAATACCAAGCACCAAGAACTAAACTGAGTTTTCCCTTTCTATTCCAAACATAGGATTAATTAAATGACAGAGTTGGGCAAGGTGTTAAATGGGGAAATCAGAAAACCTCACGACACTTTCCAGATCAGGTCTCAGATACCATATCATTATTTTGCTTCTAAAATACATCCCAACAATATCAAATACTTCATGTATAGCCATTTTTGAGGACAATGAGACAATATTTATTAAATCCAAAAATGTGAATATCTTGTTACCAACAATTTAAATTCCTGGAATCATCTATAAAGAACATATGTGCAGCACTGGCCAGTGTGGTTTGGTTGGAGCACTGTCTCATAAACTGAAAGGTCATGGGTTCAATTCCCAGTCACGGCACATGCCTAGGTTGAGGAATCGTCTCCAACTGGCACATGTGCGAGAGGCAACTGATCAATGTTTCTCTCTCACACTGATGTTTCTGTCCTCCTCTCTCTCGCCCCCTTTCCCTCTTTCTAAAATCAAAAGGCATGACCTCAGGTGAGGATAGAAAAATAAATAAAAATAAAAGAACATATGTTCAAAAAAAGTGTTAATTGCAAAACTGTTAGTAATGGTGAAACACTGGTAACACTATTCCAAATACACATCAAAGGAGCCTAGATGAACATATTGTGGTACATTTATATTTTAAAGTACTATACAGCAATTAAAGTTTATGTATATTGAAATAAAAAGAATTCAAGACCATGCAGCTGATAAAGAAACTTAATAAAACAGAAATATACATATTTTTAAAAATCATATATAAATTTTAAGTTTACACACACTAAACTCATGAGTAGTTGCCTCTGGGAAAGAAGGTAGGTACCAGCCCCAGAAAAGGCAGAAGGATAGATTTTGGCTTATTTCTATAAATAGTGTGCTATTTCTTTTTATGTTTTATTTACACAATCACAAATAGATGCATGCACAACATACATGCACACACACATCTGAAACAAATATTAACATGTAAATCTGGGAGACAATATACGAGATTTTGTTACATTATCCATGTTTTTGTTTCTTAATCTGTAAAATGTGAATAACACTCTCAAGTGTGTTGGAATGATTAATGAAAAGCACTTAACATAGTATCTGGCACAAAGTAAAGACCCTAAAGTAAATGCAATGATAAAATTTTTTAGTATAAACTATATTAAAAGTATAACATTGACTGGTCTCATTCAAATTTATTACCATAAATTTCAAGTGGATAGTCAACACTACCCTAATCATACTACACTTCACTAATGTTTGATTTCCTTCATTCTCCTAAATGGCTACAGTCTACCTTTTTCTCGCCCTTCTGATCCATAACAATCACCTCTTCTCTCCATCTCAAGTTAATGTGCTTGCCACATCAATACAACTGATACAATGAGATGCCCTCAGCCACCCTCACCCATCTTTAGATCTGTACTCACCTGCTTCTTTTAACAAAGCATAAAAAGATTCAGCTCTAATTCTCAATTATACTCTGGATCCCACATGTTTCGTCTACTACTCAGGATTTTACTTTTATAACAATAACCTCTCCAATACACTATCAATTTCTCCTATCGTGAATTATTCTCATCAGCAAATAAACATGTTATAATATTTCCCATCTTTAAAAAGCAAAGATACCTCTCCCTCCAGTCACCATCTCTAACTTACTGAAAGCAAAATTTTTCAAAAATTTGTTTTTATTTGTCCCCACATCCTAATCTTTCTTCAATGTACTCTCGTCAGAAAGACTGAAAACTTAAACACAAATTTTTCAAGTTTATGTAAACATATATAGCAGTAACTTATCGACCAAGTATTAATAATTAGAATTCATACAAACAGATGCAAGTGATACAAGAGCTATGCACTCCCCGAAAAATTCGGAGCCCAAAATTGTGAAATCAGCATTAAAGTAATTATCATCCTTTAAGAAGATAAAAGCATTGCTCAAGTTTTTAGAACACCTTATTAAGTTTATGAAGAATCCAAATCTGAACAAGGTGATCAAAAATGATCCTAACTTAAAACACACTATAATTCTATCAAATGAATCTTGTCTAGAAAGAATGTTCACATTGCAGGACAATGATCTGTAGAAAGGTCTACAAATCAGAGCCAGTAAAGTAAAATCCATGTCTGTGCTTCTGAAGCTATCTAAATTGCTTTCATCTGCTTCGCCCCCTTTTTTTCCTCAAAGTAAAATGAAAAACTGTCCCAATCAATTTGGTTGTATATGTCTCCTATTTGCTCAGGCTCTTCAAGAAGAAGAGATCAAAGTTTCTAAACACGCACAACTGAAGACCAGATCTCATTCATGGTAACACTGTACCATCAAAGTATAGTTGCTAAGTTTCTTTGCTACCCTTTATATAATTATCCAAATCAGTCAAGAAATGAGCACTGACAAAAATCACAGGAGCCACTTATATACTCCCTGCTCTCTTAACAATTAAAACTAAGAATATTAAAGATCTAAAAAGTACAAGGAGGGGATGACATAATTTCCCTTTAACTCATATCTATTTTAGGTAGCATGAAATTTGCTGAAAATTAAGATCCTTTATTCTTCTCTATTAACTACTACTCCCTGTTGGAAAAGGAGGCTGTATGGCTAAGTGGAGGAATAGAAGGCACTGAAGCTGGAACAGCTGGAGCACTGAGAAAGCAAGAGAAGCCCTGACAGATTAAGAACACAAAACACTGAAAAAATAATAAAAACTGAAACTTTGTTTCACTAAAGTATCTGTGGCTTTCTTTCTCTTCTTTTAGATTACAATTCTACTAAAATAAAACATTTACTTGAACTTAGATACAATTACTATTTTTCTTGTTAGACTCATAAATATAATCACTTATATGTGATGAATCATTACTGTGATTAATGCTTACACTATATAATTCTATCTGCCCTGTAGATACAGTTCTCAAGAATCAGTTCAATGGCTAAAAGCCAAAACTTCAGCAGATTCATTCCCTCATAGTCAAAAAAGTGACATTTAAGTTCTAATGCTTTCCTGTTTGAATCGTTACTGATATTATTAGAACATTTTAATGTAATTTATATAAAGTATGAAATATTTTATTTTTTCTTTATTTCTATTATTGACATTATTGCAAATATCCCCATCTTTTTGTTTTAAATTCCTTGCCTAAGGATATACATTTTTATTGACTTTGGGTGTGGTGGGGAGAGGCAAGGTATGTGCCTTGACTGGGGATCGAACCTGCAATCTCTCACTTTGCAGGACAAAAGCATAAGATATAATAATACTCATGTCTCTTAAAATGTATTAAGACACTAAACATGGAAGTTAAGAGATCTATTTTAAATTTTTCAAAAAAGTTGCTTAAATGATTACCCTTCAAGGTTGCTTAATATGCATTTGTAAACAAGAGCAAGTGCAAAGAAAGAAAGGCAAGTAGGAGCTATTTATTAGAAAAGTTAAACAAAAACATTACATATTCCTTTCTTCCAAAGAGTAACTCTAAAACCAAGAAATTATAGTCATAAATATACTTTTTAAACAGTTGCAGCTTAAGTAAAAACATATGATAAAAGTAAAATCCATCCGGTAGACTGCATTCATGACCTCAATTCTTTACCCCTCCTTGTACCCTGCCTTCAAGAGGTAGAATATATTTCCTGCCCACTGATTCTAAATTCTGTCATGTGACCTGCTTTTATCACTCAAATGTTAGCTGTTGTGATTCAGTGAGGCTTTTCTACTGAACCATCAGCAACAAGGGTGAGAGACTTGCAGAATAAAGTTCCATTTCTAATGGAATGAGCATTAAGCAAGGTA